CTGGCCCAAAACCTAATTGACGTCAAGTATGTTTTTAATCAATTGGGACTCAAGGCCTGACACTTTGCAGGAGGGCTCTTTAACTAGTAAGTCGTAATAGAAGTATAGATATTATGTAAGACAAATATATACAGTAAAATCCCGAAAACTTGGTCCAATACAGACCGAAGGTTGACCGAGTTTGTGAAAATGCCGGGTTATCGAGAATGGGATTAAAAAAGGACAAGTACGAGTATTTCCTCAGAAAATATTGTACTGCCCTTGTATGTATTGTTTGCTTGAGAATACGACAGAAAATAAACTCTCCGAATACCCTTAAGGTATCCGACTACGTTCGGAACCGTGATTTTGCAAAAGTGTGTAAATGGATAATATTTATGATATTTAGTATCACTTAGATTAGAATGCATGTATAAAATTGTTTTAAAAGGACATTATGTCAAAAGAAATTATTTAAATACAATATTTTGGCAAAAAATTAACTTAGAATAACCTTTTTTCCAAATGTTCTCCTTTTGTAAAAAATGCTTCTATTGTATTAATATTTTGCCTGTATTCAACTCAGACCTCTATACAGAGGCTCAACTACGATTTTTGAAATGCATAACTTGGAAGTCGGTTTATCCCTGTTTTACGAAAACAGAAGGGAGAAATTTTAAGAAAATACGCCGATAATTATTTCAAACGGTTGTAACTCTGAAAATAATTTGAATTTTTCAAAAATCGTAGTTGAGCCTCTGTACAGAGATCTGAGCTATATACAGGCAAAATATTAATACAATAGAAGCATTTTTTACAAAATGAGAACATTTGGAAAAAAGGTTAATCTAAGTTAATTTTTTGCCAAAATATTGCATTTAAATAATTTTTTTTGTCAAAATGTCCTTATATAAAACAATTTTATACATCCATTCTAATCTAAGTGACACTAAATATCATGAAAATTACACATTTATGCGTTTTTTTAAAATCATGGTTCCGAACGTAGTCGGATACCTTAAACAAAGAGAAAGTACGTACTTTATGAAGGCTTAGAGCCAGTGGTGTAACGTACACCTCCATAAACCCTCATCGGAGGGGGAGGAAGCTCCAGGNAATCAGTTGTGAATAAAATCAAGCGGCCTCTTTTAAACATTTTTTTTTTATTTATGTATTTAAAAATGATATTTTAGTATTTCATATAATGTTTCTATTCAAAAAATCGGTACAAGATAAAATTTTGCAAATAATGTTCACACAATTTTAAACGAAAAGTTTTTTTTTTTTAAGAAAGTTTGGAAAAATTAAAATTTGTACTCCTTTTATAATTATTTATTTTTTGACTTGACTTTTTATTGTAATATTCTTAGGGATGTTTTAAACAACTTTTGGGATTAATTTTATATTAACTCAATTAGTTTTGGAGAAAAAAATAAAATGTTGATATGTTTCCCTCTATAGAGTCTGCAGTACTCTAGTGGTCATGGTCACGAACCCATAGCCGGTGTGATTGATTCTCAGGTTCGTGTCCTCATGTCACTCCTGACCCACCATGTTGAGGTTCTGATGCCTCCGTGATGACCTTTGTATTGATGTGGAAATCAGGGGAACAGGATGTGATAGCTCAGGTGTTGTCCTCATCACTTCAAGGACAATGAGGTCCGATACCAATAGTCCTCAGGTTGCTTTAAATATGAATTTAATAAACACTCGCTCTCATCTCTTCTATGCTTAGATATGTTGCTTTTATGGTCTTACGAAGTACCGAACTGCAATCGGGGTTGCAAATATCAATTCAAATCTTGTTGTTGATAATCACTTATTTATTCTCATTTCTCTATGTTTAACTTTTTGATTTCCTGATTACTTTTGTCTGGTGTTATGTTTTTATTGTCACTTATTGTTTCGCTTACACGAAACAAATTTTCTGCAAGAAGGGAACCGTACATAAAATATCTGATTTTGTATTTCTAAGAATGAAATCATATGTGTGTGGCTTGTTTCTTATAATTCCAAATTCTTGTATTTATCAAACTCTTAACAAATGTTCTTACCCCGCTTCTTATGCATTCAAATTTAAGAATAATGCTAAAAAAATCAAGAAATACAAATGAAAATAGGCTTAAAGAAAAAGGAAATATTTTTTAAATTATCCCAATCACACACACATAAAAATAAAAATTCTTAACAATTTCTTTAATCATGCGGAAATTTGATAATTGTACACAGTAATTTAATACAAATATTATTCAGATGTTAATGTAATAATTCTGGAAAGTATAAAGTGAAACATTTTATAAATTCCCATTACATGTAAATAAATTATTTTTACAGAAATAGCCATACAAATATTAAATATCAACATATTATTTGTCAAACATGTGTTTGAAGTAAAAGAAAATCAACAATATGTTTCTTGTCACTAGAAAAGTTTTGAGGTTTCTAAACAGTCAATAGCGATTTTTTAAGAACCAAGACAACAAATTCAATATAGCAATTTTTCCCCAGGTATTAAAAATAAATTCTTCAAAATCTTTCCATATGTTTTCAATTTCTAGTTTTAAATTTTATCAAAAGATAACATTTT